GACCATTTCTGGCCGGCAACTTTCAGCGTCATTAAGCCGCTGCGCCACCACGTCCCCCTTTGCAAAGGGGTAGAAATGTGTTAAATAAATAAACAAAACAAACAACAGAGAGGGCCTTCAACCAGTTTTTTTGGTTCACCATTTTATGATTGTTCCAGCACAGGGATTGTTCTGTCACAGTGATGCATGCCTTGATCATCTTTCAGTACTGTAGGCTGCTGTATATGGGGCTAGCCTTGAAGATAACCAGCAACTTCAATGGATGCAAATGCAGTTGCCACAATTCTAATTGGCACTGACAATTGGATTTATTGGCTACTTATTTTTTTCCAGCCTGAAGGAATACCTTTCCATATCCTAACCTGTACATGCCTTAACTTTTTCAAAGGAGAATTTGAGCAGTTTGTTGGAAAGGAACATGGAAGAAAGTCTTTGTAGCAATTGTGCCTTCATTTATGTGACCATGGTATTGGTGCCAAATTAAAACTTGTTTATTTACCCAGGCATTCAATAGTGTTAAAGCTGATTTATAATCTGTTCTACTGTTCTCCCTCTCATTTATTTTTATGAGTGTATCTTACAATTCTGTTGTGTTGCATTCATGTTATATTTTAGTCTTTTTTGATTAACAGAGAGGGTGATTTAAAAGAGTCAAAAATATGTTTAACAGTTAGCAGGTCAAATGTTACAACAGCTAAAGCCATTCATAGCAAAACAAAAAAATCCATATCAGTTGTTCAATATCTGATCATTTAGTAGTTTCAGAAAATCTTAACATAACCAGTAGATCTTTAGATGTTTGGTGTAGATCAGAAAGGGTTCCTGCTTCATAATAATTTAACAATAGTGACAACAAAATCTTGTAAATCTTCCTGAGCCACTAATTTGCACCTAGCTTCAGCTGGCTGATAAACAAGAACAAGCATTTGAGTAACTCACCATACTTGATCGGAATTATAGCAACTGATTTGGTCCCACAGACAGAGGAAGAAACATGGGGCAAGTGAGATGAATGTTATAAACAAAACATTTTCTTAAATAGAGAGATGGCATTTCAAATATTTAAATGTGAATTTCAATTGATATTTAATATATTTATTAAATATATCCATTGAACGCTTCCTTACAGTAAAATATCTGATGATCATTTATTGAAAGGTCTGTGATTTACATTAGATTTGTTTTAATATGGGAATGAGCATATAAAAATATGTCTTCATTTGTCCTTTGAACCAGATTAATGCTTAATTCCAGCAGTCTGTTCTTTTCAGTGCATACATAAGCTGGGAGAAAAATACGGTTTGCTAAGTAGAACTGGAAGTTATTGAGGATGTAAGAAAAAAGAAATGCTGTTGCAAATCTCAAATGAGTTGCTAATTAAAAGCATGTATTTTCCCTCTTTTGTCAAAAAGGATTTCAGTGTTCATTGAGCCAAGAGTGAGTAAATCAGAACAGCCCATTGCAACTGACAAAGACAAAAACTGAAAATATGGATTCTCTGTGTTGCAACAGATTACATTTTAGCTAATGTTACTGATGTCAGAAAAGGGAAAGATTTGTGCTGCAAACATGAGAAAGATAGCCTTCTGTCAGCCAAAGATAAAATGTAAAGTTTTATTGAAACAAGCGTGGCCCTGATGGTGAACTTCTCTGTAACAATCCCACCTACCAAATGAGGGCATTATAGGCTTTGTGTTGAAAGCACAGGGTATGTTAAATGCTGGGGGATTAGATTAAGCTGACATATATACTTAGTACGATACTCTAATACCTCTAGAAGGCTTTAGCATAAATTATGACTATTTATTTCCATATTCTCATTTACAAGTTCATTAATATAAATCAAAATTATTTCCCTATGCCATCCAGGCAAATTAGGTTATTTCTCAGCATGTGTACCTTCTTGCTATTAAGACTTTGGCAAGCCTTGTTCATATGCGTTATACAAAAATATAGAAAAATATAAATTACTAATCCTATTCTTTGTACAGAAATCAATAGAACAGGAGGCAATGATAAAATACTTGCTTAATCTCTGATGTGGTTTGTATCTCTGAACTGCTGTGAAATCTTCTGCGGGACAAACTGTGTTACCAGGAGCAAAACAAACAATTCCATAAGGTGGTATAACAAATTAAAATTGAAGCAAGAAAACTTTAATCCTATCCATAGAGAGAATGTCACATAATAAAAAGATGACTAAATTCATAGCTTGGAGGGGTTCCAGAAACATTCCATAATTAAAGGGCAGCCACTAGCAAAGTTTCTGCATTTGCTATCTCAACTGAATGAATAGATAGAAAAGTTCATAAGGCATTCTAGTGCACTGTTGGTGATCATGCTTAGTGCTGGCAACTACTTGGACTATGATTCGGTTTAGATCTCACTCCAATCTTTAACTCTGCTTAAAAACAATATCTGAACTGAGTAGACAGAGTTGGACTAGTTGACCTCTGAGGTACCTTTCAACTCTAGGA